ATTTGGGTCAAATATGTACCGTTTTGTTGTATGATTTGTTACCATTTTAAAGGTAACTTCAAAATGCCTCTCTCATAGAAGTCCTGGTCTCTATTTGCAAAAAACTCTAATAGTCGGTTTTCACAATCCTCCCTAGATTCCAATTTTTTATCATTAAAGAAATTTTGCAATGCAAGAAGATGATAATCGCTTGGTGCCAAGTCCGGACTGTATGGCGGATGCATTAAAACTTCCCAACCAAGCACTCGAAGTTTCTGGCGAGTTACTGTAGATGTGTGTGACCTAGCGTTGTCCTGGTGGAACACGACACCTCTCCTGTTGGCCAATTCTGGCCGTTTCTGGTCAATCGCTATCTTCAAACGGTCGAGTTGTTTACAGTAGAGATCAGAATTTAGCGTTTGGCCATGTGGAAGCAACTCATAGTAAATAATCCCCTTTCAGTCCCACCAAATGCATAGCAAAACCTTCCTGGCCGTTAGTCCTGGTTTGACCACCGTTTGAGGTGCTTCACCGCTCTTTGACCACGATCGTTTTCGCACAGGGTTATCGTATGTGATCCATTTCTCATCTCCAGTCACCATCCGTTTAAGAAATGGGTCTATCTCATTCCGTTTGGCCAAGGCTTCGCAGATGGAAATTCGATCCATCATGTTTTTTTCTGTTAATTGGTGTGGCTCCCAAACATCGACCTTCTTTTTGAATCCAGCTTTGTGTAAATGGTTTAAAACTGTTTTATGGTCGATTTTTAGCTCCTGGGCGATGTTACGAGTGCTAACATGCCGGTCAACTTCGATCATTTCTCCGATTTTATCGACATTTTCGACGACCGGCCTACCTTTAACATCAAAAATTCCTGAACGGAATCTACGAAACTAAAATTGCACATAATTGTCTGTTACAGTATCGGAACCATAAACGCCATTCACAGTTTTAGCCGCCTGGCTTGCATTTTCGCCTTTGTCGAAGAAAAACTGTAAAATGTACCGAATTTTCTCTTTGTTCACTTCCATTTTTAACACGCTGTAACTCACAACTGCACCAAACAAAAAACAGCAAAAGAATTTTTTTTACTGCGAAATGTCACCTTTCCAACGAGCATAAATATGAAATTGTTTGATCGATACTTTACGAGAAATCTATCAGTGCAGCCATCTACCGAAAAAATAATGGATTTCTTTTTCTCCAAACTAATAATATCTTCCCTTTATATGGCAAATTAATATCTGTTCTATTGCACTGCCTTGCTTTTCAATTATCTGCTTTCAAAAATAAAAACATTTTCGAGTATCAGTAAATCAATTTGATATATAACTTTTTCTTGTTACGGAAACTTACCTTATGAAGTGTACACAACAATTTCCAGTTTTTTTACCCATTATTCTCCCGGTCTTAGAGATGACGACGTTGACTTCAATTTTGTCGAACACATTGCAAGTTCTTCCCCGCATATTGGTGCTTAAAATCGGCCCAAAAGGGCGTCTACAGTCGTACATCTCCTTTTGAAAGCAGAAAAATAGGTTTTTTTACTTAGTCCTCATAAACTACAACACATACATAGTAACAACTTCAATCTACTTAAGTGGAAAAAAGCATCCACCGCCATAGGGATAACGAAATTAATTTTTTTTTACTTTGTTTTTGAAATCGCGTTTTTAAAAGCGTCGAATATAAAAGATTCGGCCAAAGCCGGATATATTTTTGTAACTTATTGTTTCAATTAAATTTTTATTTTATTTTTTCGGTTGGTTATAATTATGTTATTTTTAATTTTTCTGTAATTCTCTATATATTATAATACAACAATTAGCTTTGCTAATATATAAATTTTTATTACATTTGTATTTTTTAATATATTTTTTTCATTAACGTAACATTGAAAAATAATTTTTATATAAAATAACAACAAAAGAAGCAACATCTAAAAAAATTTTAAAGACAACATTAAGGTTGTTTAAAAAAAAAATTGTTTCATGAAAACAGTTTTTGATTAAATAGAGAACGGCTCGTGTGACGAATCTTTTATCGAAAAATAAAAGACAATCATAGCAAAACACTGATGCATTTATACGCTTTATTTATTTCGTCTTATTCGTCTATTTTTCGTCTATTGTTGTTTTGACAAGGACCTGGTAATTTACGGCCCTTAACTGACTTTTGTATATATATATTTTCGAAAACAACTTATTCATCTAAACTCCACAGAGGGTACTTCGGTTTGATTCATTATCGTTTATGGGATTGTAGCGGACATATGCTGTGCTTGAAAGATTCTAATTTATGACATTTGCTTTTTTTACAAGGGGCTATGTATTCCATTTCGATTATATATATTAATATACTCAAATATTTCCAAATTCTCTTCCTTTTTATCTCTTAAAACAATAACAGGTTTAATTTTACGGACACATTAAATAAAAGCATGTAACATCGCCTTGAATTCACTACAAACAAGATAATCTTTATACCCGTCACACAGATGTTACAGTTACTTTCGTTTTATTAAAACACAGAAGAGAGATTTATATAGCTATCGATAAGTGCCATTTCTGAAATTGGTGTAAGCCGCCGGTTATATGGTTGTGGCAAGCATTGCCCCGTCGTAAAAACTAAGATATTGGCTTCGGATAGAAGATTACTCCATGAAGGTTGGTGTTGAAAACAGACCGAATGGGCCCCAACTTAATGTACTTGATATACTCTGTATGCCACGACAAATGGTGTAGGGTATGAATAAAAAATCTAAAGGTGATATTACCTCTTAATAATTTTGTCATTTTCGAATATTAATTTTTCAAATTGGCTTGATTTATAGAATATAGAAAGATCTGTGAAAACTGCATATTATTTTTGATGCATTTTCGTCAATACATTTCCACTTGTACCAAATATAAATTTAAATATTTCACATAGCCCTTGTAGGAGCTGGTTGATGACAAAAATTTCTTATGTCTTTTTTTACTTCTTTATAACGGAGGCGAAAATAAACCTAAGTAGTTTCGATACAACTTTTATTTTTTGGTCTGGAAACTCTTTGTCTGTTAGATATCCTCTTCTCAAATATTGTGATTTGTTCTTTTTAAATGATTTTTTGCACTTACAAATTTTTCTTAGCAACGAGTAAACATTGAATACATTTTTCAAAAACTAGCTATAAAGTCAGTTACAACACAACAAATAAAGCAAGTGAAAATATAAAAACCAAAAACTGAATGTTCTACGCCTTATTGCAATTATTCATTTAACGATTTTGCAAACGAAAACGTTATTTGGGAAATAATCGAAAAAGTGGCTCGACCACAAAAGTTGATGGCAATATCTCAAAAATTTCGACGTGTAGGCTGACCACAAGAAAACCAAACATACAGATGGACAGACAGCCATAAAATGAGATATATTTTGTCAATTGCTTGGTATAATAAAATGTGGATCTACCCCAAATCCTTGTGAATATTTCTTGCATCTGCATAAATTTAACATAGGCTTGTACCCTTGTACCACAATTGGTGCAGAGTAAAAAAAACTTCCTTCAAGAGGAAATGTTGAGACAAAGCGTTAGAATGAGGAAGTCATTAGCAAATCACTTCTTTTCGAAAATTTTCAGGTAAATTATTTTTATCGTCGGTATTGCCAACTCCAATAGTTTAGATAATCTAATGTGTTGTAATATAATTATGAAACGTAAGCTGTAGAAGAAAAAGCAGGGAACAGAAATTCATAATAGTAGATATATATTATGCCATTGGTTTCCAAAGTTGAAAAATAATGCATAGTTTCTCGACTTTGATTGTTGCCAAGAGCATTGCTAGCACCGTTAGTTGTCTTTCAAAAACACTGCAGAAGCGTAACTGTTAATTAAGTACAATGTATGTCGAGAATGCATACATAACGGGTTAAGCTGTTGCATGCATTGCATACTGAGTTTACGTAACATATATTTGGAAATTTAAAAAAAGAAACAATACAATCGATTCAAAATCGTAACAATAACAGATTTACGGGTTAAAACAAACTGAACAATAAAACTTAGCAAACTTTTCTTTTTTCAATTTACTATAAATGTACAGCTTAAAATTTATTAACAATTTATTTGCAACATTTTTTTACTTTAGTTGAGGTTTCTTATTTTAATATTTATTTCGTTCCACTTGTTTATTAGTTTTCTACATATATATTAGTGTTTTTTTTTTTTTTTATATTCTTAATTTCGCTTAATATTCTTTTATAGTGAAAGTCTTTAATTTCTTAGGAATTGTGTTAAGAGAGTGAGTGATGCAATCGTTATCTTATAAGTTCTCTAGTTATGGATTTCATAATGAAGTACATATTTTTGTTTATATGTCCGCGATTTTCATGCATGTGCACTTGTATGCATTTGTCTGTGGCTACCAGCGCATATACATATACGCGTGTGTATATGTGTAGGGATGAGTAGATCTCATTAAATAATTAACTAATTTTCAATAGTATGTGCGTTGAAATTCTTCAAAGATTAATTTTCCAAATTTTATATTATTTACAATTAATGGTTATAATTTTTGAATAAATAAAAATTTATGCACTTACGTATTTCTGTTTAGGTTGTTAACAAGTAAATTCATTTACTTACTAAAGAATTTTTAGTTCTCATATATACAGCCAAAAGGCTAGTAGAAAATTTGTTTTAATGACTTCTTCTGTATTTTTGAATTTATTTATTAAATTAAAGTCGCTTTTAGAATTGTTTTTACATAGTTCCGTGTTGCCTCTCGAATATATATTAAATGTTATATATATCTAAATAAGTGTTCATACGCATATTCATGCACGTATGAATGCATATACAACATATATATATATATATATATATATATATACATATATACATATATATTATATACTTATACGTATATAAATATAATTAATATATATTTATTTATATGTTTATTTATTTTATTATTTATTTATATACATGTACATATATAGGTTTAACTTACTTGTTTTTAATACCATTATTACTGTTATTATTAGTAAATGCTTTTCATTTAGAACATAGAGATATATTGATTAATTTTTTCGTTTATTTTCACTTAGAAGTATTATGATTTCTATTTCAAAACGCGAAAAATTGCGTTAGCTGAGGGAATGCAACCCAAAAATGTTGTAAAGATGTTAATTAATTCCTACTAACATGAAAGTCATTGAACAACTCTCCGAGAATATTCATTCAAATTCATCAAAACTATTATCCCAATGGAAATAAAAGAAACAACCTATTAATTAATGAAAGGTAAACAAATAAATTAATTAAAGTGTGCTTGTAATAAACGGGTTAAAATAAAAACAAATCATATAGCTTATCACTATCGCCATCTCATTCTATGACCGCATTTTTATTAATTACGTCGAACTTAGTGACGCACATGAATGACGTCCCATTAGCTTCATACGCGAGAAGAGTAAAATAAAGATGACATTTCACTTATGAAAACTACCCAGATACAAAATCAATATATCCTGTAAAGTACGCGTATTCTTGATGAATATGAAATAAGGACTTTTATTTGCCATATGCAGCATTCACCCGTTTCTCGTTTGTGTTACTACAATCAGAAGTAAAGAAAATTACAGTACAACGTCTGGGTTGAATTCCATAAATTAAACTAGAGAAGGCGCCTTTTTAGAGTTTCTTAAAATAACAATTACTAAAAGGTTTTTAAAACACAGAAACAATTAGGAAGTCCGAACTATATTTCTAAATATTTTAGAATTAATTGGAATATTTATGAAAAGTCAAAAAGCACATCAGTCAATAAAAAATTTGTTCACTCTGCATTTCGCATCTAAATGATACGAGTGTTTCGAAGGCAGTCCTCTACATATCCTACGAGAGGTAGACGTAACTAATAAGACCCCATATGACTGATTCTCTATGTTTGCCTTGACTTGACAAGTAACGTTACTTCCACGCAATAAAATACGGAAATCCTTTCACGCCGTCTTATTTCATAAGAATTTTTGCAAAATTCGATTTTATCAACATAAGAATGATTTCAAGAGGTTCATAATCATTTCAAAGATTGTCAACGTTATAATTTTTACAGGACGTAAGATGCACGTTTTTTCAGGACCAATTGTAAGAGATTTGTAAACAGAAAATGGTAGCTGAGAGCCTGATCTGGAGAGTTCGCTTTTTCGGGTAGAAGTTCAAATTTAAATTTATGCAATTTTGCCGACTTACGACAACACTAGATTTCGTTGTATTGCGGGTAAACTCGGTGAACACATGAAATCAGCGTTCCCATGCCAACGTTTTCATACAAACTAGCGAATACATCGTTTTTTGACTTCTTTAAGATGTCTGCCATAACTCTTGGCCTGTGAAAAAGGTGCGTCCTTTATAAAGTTTTAACTTTTTCGACTTTCTTGACTTGTTGTTTAATATATAATTTAGATATACATATAAAAGGAACAGGACCAAAGTTTTATTTATATGGAAAGGTCAGTAAATTGGGTGAAGATAAGCAAGTTAGGATTAATTTTATTGACGCTATTACTCAATTCAATGTTGGTATAATTAGGAACTTGCTATTGCATTGGGTTTATACGAAGCTTCTGCCGTCGACTGATCGATGCTTTGCAGTTCATGCTACTAGCAATCCATATCTATTAGACAGAGAAATTTCGAATTGAATGCTATATTAAATTTCTTGGCTCTGCGTTAAAGATATTAAAATTCGAAAAAACATTAGTTCATCCATCGGAACATACTATTTACACTTCCACAACTATAACGTGCAATGGGTGTTCGGCAAGTTTATTGCTAGCGATAGACTGCGGCTTCTTTACAAAAATAGAAGCTTTGAGGATTTTTACAAAGGCAGAATCTTATCAACATTTTTCATGGTAAGTTAATAAGTATCCATTAGAGAGTGAATTTTAGAAAAAGTGGGATAAATTGCTTTCACGCGCATCGAGTAATTAAAGCGAGTGTTGTCGTGCAAAAAAATTGTGATTTCTGACGATAATAACACATACCGTGAGGAGAATAGGAATGCAACAGTGCAAAAAGGGCTCTGGTTTAAGAAAATTCTGCTTTACCATCTTTAGAATGTTACGACAACTCTTCTAACCTAATATCAGTATGTATCTAAATACATATATCGTTTAATAGTGGGTACTAATGTAAGTGATCATATCACACCTTTGCGTATTGCCGCTAAAATTTGGATTGAATACTAATCGATTCATGTAACAAGATAGCGTTTATTAATTGCGTTTTATGGTTTTTATACGCATTCTTTCCTAACTTTTCTAAATTGTTTTATCTAATAAATTGAACTAATTTTTACAAATTATATACTAACCTCAAATAGAGTTAAATACCTGTCTAGGTTAATAATTTAAACTAGTTTAATAATTAAGTTTTGTATATTTGTACGTATGTCTATACATTGTTGGACATTAGCTTTTGTTTTGTTCTTTTTTTTTCGTTTTGCAAACTTTAACTATTTATAGAATTTTTTATTAAATAATTAAATTTTAATTACGACTACAAGCACATTTGTGCAAGTATGCATGTTATGAGTGCACAGTTAAAATGTCCAAACTATTATATACATCATTATGAAGTGAATAGATAAATAAAAAATCTTTTTTTAGAATTTTGAATTGTTGTATTAAAAAGGTGATTTGGAGAAAACAATTACATATTCTTTTTGACTGTTGGTTATTAGATTCAAGGATCGTTAATTTTGAAAAACGAACACTAACCGGACATTGAAAAAACAGCCTTGAAATTAATGAAGATAATTTAGAGTAATTTTTCTTTTTTGTTTCAATTTTCAGTTTGAGGAAAAGTTTTCTTAAATATTAGTTCGTTTTCATTTCTTATTTCATTTGACTACTCTTATGATTTGCAACTTATTAAATTCTATTTAACTTAACCTTTATACTCATATATACAATGAATTTTGAACTAATAAAATTTTTGGTTTTCCTTTTTTAAATTTATCTTAGTTAAAATTTTACCTATCACGAAAAAGAAATTGACAAGTTTTTTCATGTATGATGATCGTGAGTATCTGCAAAGATAGAGGTGGAAAATGCTTGAAAAAAATTTTGTTGTATACATATTTCACCTGAGCCTCGTGAAGCATTGTTAGCATAACATTGCTGATAGGAATTGAATCTGGAAGTGTTCAAGAAAAAAACCCGTTCATTAACCCATTTACCGTCCTCAGACGAAGGTTGTCCCATTCTTTTCTATACAACTTTGCGAATGGTTGACACACACAGTGTTCATAAATTTTTTGTTAAATTCACTTAGTATATTATTTTATAATGCCAATTGGCTTGAATGTATAAACGAACCAAAAACCAATGAGGTCCGCGACTGCTCTTTTGGGTTTTTGGCAACAAACTTTCGCACAACGAAGATTACTCTCTGTGTGAGATTTTGCGAATTCTCATCGCCGCTCGTTGAAGGTCAAAACCAACACAATTCGGCCTTTTAAATTTCTTTCATTACTTTATACTTTTGCATTCGGCACACAAGACTCGGCCTTCCTTTTATTTCTAACATTTTGAGTTATTCGATCTCGGGTTTTTGTTTAGAATACAAAGGAAATCGCTCTTGTATTTTGTGGGGTAACTCAGTATAGCGCGGTCTCGATTTAAAAAAAAACTTTGCCAACAACCTTCACATTTGAACTTATAAGCTCACAAACACAAATTACGCTGAATATTTCTTGCTCAGTGGTTTTCTAGTATTTTTTCAGTTGACTGGATACCGATGCCGTCCTTCTTCTGCGTAAACACTTAAGAATGTTTATCACACATGCTTCACAGTTGACCAGATTAACAGACGAACAGGTGGATATGCTTAGGTGTATTTATTATCGGTCAAACATATATATTCCTTAAGGGAGCTTGGTTTTGGACGTTTGGCAAAAAATTGAAATCGTGACGTATTATGATATTCGCAGGCGTGGTCTATTTTTTCATTTCTGTACAGTTACTACAGCATCGCCGATAATATATACGTTCAAATTTTTGTAGATTTATGAATAATAAGCAAAAAACCAATATTTAATGCCTTTTGAAAAAGACGGCTGTTTCCAGTTTGCATAGCATCGTATGCGTGCGCTTTGGCTAAATTTGAAATCAATAGCTTCATTTTTGTGGCCAAGTGAACGTTTACAACAGACAATATACAGGCGGACAAGCGGAAATCGATTCAGGACGTGATGCCGAGCATGCATACATATATGTTGTTGAATCTCTAGAGCTTCCTCTGGGTATCGCAAATGTTTTGCATAGACGAATATACCATTCATCCTTCGGCGCTGGTTAAAAAGAGGCGAAGGTCACCTTTTAGCTCTTTCTGAATAAATACTCATGAATGGTGGTATTGCTAGAAAACACTAAAAATAAAATTGAAACTCAAGCACCAAAATAATAATATTTTTAAATACTACTCTGTCTCCGCTTGCAAAGACGCGTTCGAAATCAGAAACTTCTGATGACTTGGCAATAAATCTATAATATATGGCCCAAATTCGCTGCACTGTCCAGATATATATGCATATATATATCTACCTATTTTTTTTGTCTTGCGCTTTATTTGCAGACAATTCATCACAAAATGAATCTAAGCTTTGAGGCCAGCTTGCTTTCTGGGTCGAAAATGGTGCATAAGAGGTCTCCACTTCGCAAACTTGATACTCTACGGTTATGTTATATTCGCTGCGCTGACGTTTTAAATTCAACTTAACTATGTACGGGATGAAAATATTACAAACGTCGCATTATTTCATAACACTTACTGCAACGATTTAATCGTGGGCGTTTTCGTAAAAGTACGGCACTGTGCCACTTTATTCGGTGTTAATTGGACGCAAAACGATAATCTATAAGTGTTCAAAAGGTGGCTATGAATTTAGCTTTTTATTCTTCCAAACGGGAAAATTTTTGTCCTTCTCTCTCTCTCCCTCTGTCCGCGTAATGATTCCGTTAAAAATTAGTTTCGCCACCCATCCATGGATCCATCGGGAAACTAATTAATGAATGTAAGACATAACAAATGGTTTATTTTTCGGCTGTTTTCTTTTTGTAAGCATTTTTCTAAATGATACTTCGCTTTTCGAGACCCAATGCAGGTGTTTGGCTTTTGATGGAAATACTTGCCCCAAATGGGTATATTTCACCCAAATACGTAGTGACCGCACAGGTTGTTACCGCATATGGGACTGAATGTTTTACAATTTTTTTTTTTTTAGAAGCTCTTGATTAAATAGAATAGTATCAATTTTTGAAAGATGATTTTTACGCGGCGCGTCTTCTTGCTCTTATTTGTTTTTACTTTTGTGTCACCTCATTTTTGAAGGCTATTATTTTTTGATTACCAATTAATAATGTAAAATTAATGGAAAATTCAAATGCGCTCTAATGCGTTCGCCAAATGTGATTGATTGCCGACGCGTTTTATGAGAGTTAACGCAACACAGCTGTGATAATTTAAAATAACCACTAGTTACAACAAGTGTGTCTCCGTGTATGCGTACATGTCATCGACTCAATCACTTTAATTGGAATATTGTGGTCATAAAATGTAGTTTCATTGCGATGATATGCGTGAAGCGTTGCTCTTGGACATTCTATACATTTACATTGCATCAATACCTAACCACACTGTTAACGCTATTTTGAGCGTAGGTTCGACTGTCTGTGGGTAAGAGGTCCCGTTTATAACATGTAGTGTGTTTGCGTGTAAGCTTCGTCTTAAAAGTATCCAAATGAGCTCAAGGTTTGTATAATTATCTTTAAATATTACAGTTAGTAGTAAAAAATAGACAAGATTTGTAAAATATTCAAAAATACTCAAAGTTTTCCAACTTCGTTTGGTCCAATCCAGATTCGCTTACCTTGTGTTATGGCTGTTGTGATGGCGGCGGGTGTATTATAGGACATTGTTGTTGTTGCCGTGGCTACGGTATGACCCGAACTTGGTCCAACAGCATTAATACCTGAACCATTTGCTTCCGACGCTTTCATTTGCGACTCACGTTCCGCTACACGTTGACGAAGCAAACGGATTTTTTCCTCTTTCTGAAAATAGTTAATGTCATAAAAAAGTTGATCAGTAGAGTCGTAAATTAGATGAACAAATTTCCTCAATTAATTTTCATCTTCTAAATTCGATGGTAGTCAAGCAGAGCAGTTCTCATCGGAAACAATACTTTTAATTGAATTAACAATTGTAATAATAATCAGATAATAATAATGGAATCAAGCTTAAATTTCACAATGGAGCAGGGCTGATCATTAAGTATCCTGCATTTCGTCTAATGCATTTCTTCACATCTTTTCATAAGAAACCAAAAACTACATCTTGTTAACATCTGGAGGAAAACTTTTCATGAGATGTGCCTCCAATTTAATAAAGTCCATTTTTTGTCGGAAAACTTAACATACTTCATTTAGTTTCGTCACGAAACATCAATTACGAAAAAATGAAACCTTAGTTTTTATCTTATATGGGACCAGATCCGAAAAATTATATAACGCAAAATTAGCCCATTAGATGTGTATATCAGAAAAACATTTCGAACAAATTTTCGTCAAAAAGCACTAAAAATTGGATTCACTGCCATTAGATCTCATCAACAAATATGAGTTTATCTCTTGTATAAAAATGGTTTTGAGCTACGTTTAAAAAAGTAGTGACAACTGAATGAAATATTCTACATCCGGTTGGTAAGCTGACATATTACTATTTATGGACTTTTAGTAGACATTCAAAAAGACGAATTTTCAAAATAGGACGTTACACGTGCAGTAATCGTGAAAGCGTGTCAACCAATCCGTTTTCCATAGCGTCACTGTATCAAAAATCAGAATAGATAAGTTTTATTAAAGCGCTTCCGAAATTGCGTTTTTTTAAACATATTTAGGGCATGATTCTAAATCGATTATTACAAAAAGGTGGATCTATACCAAGTCCTTCTGGGTGCTGCATAAATTCGCACCATCTTGCTATATCTTTACCAAAAGCAACAGTACTAAGTAAAGTAGTAAGAAGTTAGTGTGCACATTCGATACGTATGACTTGACGTTTTGTATTATAAATTAACCCCTTAGGAAGTTTTTTTGCAAGCTAAAGAAGCAAGGAGGAAATGTCTACGACTAAGGAGAGAAGTTACAAGCATTGAAATTTGAAATACGACAAGATTTCAAGAAAAGATATGCAGATTTTCTTTACGATATTATCGCCTTACCTTATTGCTTCGGATATCTATAAGATTATGTAGCGTAGCTGGCGTCACAATCGGAGCATCAATTTTAGTGACAAATTTGGATAATTTGCTTCACTGTACTCCATACTTTCACATATTGGAGCATAAAATGCACCACAACGAAGGGGATGACACAGCTTCAAAAGTAATGAAAAAGAGGGTCTTTGTGAAATGATGTGGCACAGCTTTTTTGTAGTTATTTTTTTGTTTTTTATTATTGCTTCCCTTATAAAAATAGAAAAAAGTACGACGAAAGTGCAGCATAGAAACTAGTAAAGGGTAGTCAAGAAAAATGCCCTATTTTGGTCGTACACCTCGTATTTAAATTTTTCATTCTTCTTATTCCAGGGATGAATCTCAAACATTTTAAAGTATTGCGTCAGGAAAAAAGGTCGTGATGTTTTCCGCAATATTTCATTTTAAAGTGTCTTAGCTCCGGTCACATTACATCTATGTAGGCATATCATAGCGTATGTCAACAACGATAATTGCAAACAAAATTATATCCGTCTATGATTGAAATTGCTTTAAAAAACTCAAAAAGAAAACATTTCGATACTGTATAATATTGTGTAGGCGAATGTTTCCATCCTTTTGCAGGCGCGGGAGTTTCTTTCGTTACGTTTTTTGTAATTCATGAGTAGCGGAGAGGAAACTCAATTTGTTTGCTTCTGAAGACAATGTTGTTCTCAGCCTATGTTATACTAAAAGTGTGTTCTTTACTAATTGGAACCATTTTCATTACCAACCTGCTTGCGAGAAATTCTAATGTTATTTCTAACTTTAACTTTACAGATGTTTGTTAACCTTTACTTTATAGAACATCTCCGGAATTTCATTTTGGATGTTGCAAAGTTTATGACAGATTGTGGTGGCAGGCATAAAAAGACGACATCAAATCCACCGAGGCACCAAGGAGATAGTGAAAATTTATTAACAAAATTAACAGTCCGTAAATGATCTGCTCGGTTTTGTTCACATTTTGAAGTTGAAGACTATAACCCATCAATCGTTCGGACTTCAGAAAGTTAAAACATTTATTTCGGTCTTCCGAACCATTTCGGTTCTGAACCCCTTCGATCATTAAGGCCGGATATGACAGAGTGCTCAACATTCAGGTAGCACGTAAACTAACAATGAAAAATTCAATGGATACGTTTCTCATCTTCAAATTGCTCCTAAGACAAAATAGAATCGCTCTAGATGGATGAAGCTTAACAAACGGTGTCTAAATCGATGTAATGTAAAACAATGCAGTTTTTTTAATGATTAGTCACTAAAGGTGTGTGCCGTATACATGTAACAAGGTAATGATCAGAAAATCATAGCTAGAGAAAGTACATGGTAGCAATACTGGGAGCTGTGCGCTCGGTGTTGTGCTCTCACCGACCGCACATCGACTGCAATTAAAATATATTCTGTCGCATTGAGGGTTGAACCCGGGTATGCTGATTTAATAGTCGGACTTCTTAACTATTGACTAGGCGTAGGATTGGCCAGAAATCGTGCAGCTTGACTCGACCTAACTAGCAATACAGCGACGAAGACGTCCATCTCTAATGACTTGGCAAAGATTGAGAGCATTTGGTTAAAAAGTTTTTCATACACACGCACCGCACACCAAATATAAGAACAATGTTTTGGAATAATGGTGGAAAAACGGTACTAAACCTTTCCGTGATCTATATCTATACTTTATTGTAAGTCAACATATTTTTCTTCAAAAATTTGCCATTTTATAAGCATAATGGATGGCGTTTCAACAAAACGAAAAGAAATCATATATATTTATGAAGACTATTTATATGTGGACAAAAATTGTTCATCATTCCAAAGAGAATTATCTCATAACCGTTATGTATTCGCACATATTTCATAATAAATTTATATCATTCTTTATGGCTCTTGCCTTTGCGCTTCTTATGCAGCTGCTCAAATGGAATGTATTTTGTGATCTTCTTTCTACTACTTTATAATATGGACTACTTCTTCTACCCGAAAGTGCAAATGTACGGATACTGTTTACTTTATTATTACTGAAATAAAGCTTAGAAAAAGGAGAAAATAGAAAGGATGGAAAATGGGCATGCATCGCGTACTTTTGAGAATCATTTTATTTATTAAAGAAAGACAATAATTAATCAATTAACTAGTTTTATACAAAGGATCCAAATATTCGTTGGTTTTAATTATTTAATTCAGATCAGGACCACCCGACATTGGTGCCTATTGCTCTCTATATAACAATTTTCACTGTAAGAATAAAACGTGTACAAGTCACGCACGTAAGCCTTACAATGGATTTCGATATTCGTATGTATTAAAAAAAATATCTTTTTGCTTGTGGACGTGTCAGTTGATCGCTTCCGTAAAAGTTTAGCAATAGAAATCGTTTTAAGAACTTCAATGTTTGTGAATACACCAGTTTTTTTTGGGAATTCTAAGCTTTCATGTATATTTTTAGTTTTAATTTGTGGCTGTCACTAATTTTCATGGACTTGATCTTGAATATAATTAGTATGATAATTATAAGATCTAGACTTCAAGAGCGGCGCAACCAAAGATAATTTGCATATCCATTCTCATCAGAACTGGCATTGCTTTGAAGGGTAACATGGCTGTAGATTCTTGGAAATTTAGAATTTGTTTATTGGTTTCGATCCTTTAAACAATCAAGAATGATGTAGAAAGATGTGTGTCATAACAAAATTTTAAGCGGTTCGAGAATTTGATTTTTCGGTTATAGTTGTATCGCACTATGCGGATGCTTCGGGGTTTAAAGGACAAAAGCACTATAATTCTCCTGCGATCGTATTTTGAACAATGTCCTTGAAATAACATTTTAAACCTCAATACGCGGGTGAATTTCGAGAGACTTAAATCTTATCTATTAATAATATTTTGCTTTTTTTTGTCGAAAATTGGACTACTTCATTCAAATATTCGCCAATCACACAAAAATCAACATGTTTAAAATCTCTTTTAATTCTACTCTACTACTATTTCTCTAATTGTAGGCACACAGAAGTTCCTGTTTTTCTTCTTTTCTTTAGATTCAAGTTTGGTTCAGCTAAGTCGCTCACAGTCTTCATGCCATTAGAGATTCTTTTAGCTTCTTCAAGTTATATGATGGTCTCCTCGATCTCTTTGCAGCAAAAAAATGTGCGCCATCGCGGGGAAAGTCAATTTATCGTTTTCTTCTTTTTTCTTTTTTTTTTGTGTTTAATTATTTTCTATTACTATAGCATTTATTTTCGTTTTCAGCCAAAGTTTACAACACCGTTTGACTTTCAACAATTCAACCAGCACAATTACACACATACAAACAATTAAATTTAACATACCGGCTCCAGTTATTATTGCCGCGTTTTATACATATTTGTGACCAAAATTACGGCAGTTTATTATCTGGACATATAAGACACAAATCTATTGGCTATCTACTCAACAAACCAAAAGTAAATAAAAATTCTTAGTTGTTGAACCTCAATCAAAGAAGAAGAAGAAAAGAGCGAGTCAAACACTTTGTCCTTAACTGTCGACGATTTGCAAATGTCAGAAGGTCATTTACCTCTTTTAAAATATGCTAATCTCAAGTAACTAACTTGCTTTAATCAGTAAAGCTAGCATATCGTTGTAATCACCTAAAATTCTGACATATTTTTATCATAAATATCTACAATATCACTACTTCATCACCTGCACATCACTGCTTACATTTATTGGGTGGTTATTACCTTTTTTCTTCTTATGACTTATGGTGCGAGGATATACTAGGTTTTGCGGAAGATTTAAGAAGGATCCATCTTTTAT